AGGGGAATCCGTTGAGAAACGTGTCGGGGAGTCGAGGCTTGTACGCAAGGCTGCCGAGATGGTGGCATTGCTCCTCAGTGGCCCAACAGAGCGAGCCGTATGTATCGCACAAATTTGGCTTATGTTTCAAGGTGTTTCTCTGAAGTTACGCCTGATGAATGATGTGTGCTCTGTTCGGTGAGGCCATGAGGGAAGAGGAATTACTGGCTGGTACCAGGCCAAGGTGAGACTAGCCATGCTGGTAGGAATGCATCCACGTCGGTCCTGCAGATGCACCACGTTGGACCACCGCCTTCTGAGTGCGGGCTCATCGGGAGGCACATCCTGCTGACGACCAGGGCTCTTTGCAGTACATGGAGTCAGGTGCCCTCCGTCGGACGACTGACACAGGGCTGCCACAGCTTCAGGCGGACGGTCCAGCGCCGCAGTGCCCTGGGGGTGTGCTGCAAGGGCCACGGGCGTGGGAGGTCTGCCGCCCCGGGTCAGGGTGACGGAGCTGCACGACGTGCAACGGTTCTTCAGTCTCACTTTATAAAAATCCCATCCTGCCAAGCTGCAACAACTGACTCCAGGTTCTGAAAAACAACTTCTGCAACATCTTTGCACCACGACAGTGGTGTACTGCCTTCTGGAAGGTACGTGGAACCACCAAGGAGTTTGCCAAAGACTTGCCCCCAACAGCTGCCTGACTGTTCTCTGCAGCCAGAAAAATAACCAAAGTTCCCAAATGCTGCCATTTCACTCTGCAAACAGAAAGGCTTTGGAAGACCCCGGCCGCAAGCTGCACGAGGGCTGGACCTGCTCTGAAAGTCGGTGCCTCTGTGTTTACAGCGCGTCTGTGATTCAACTGGACCTTGGTGGAACTCATTCCTGAAGCTTTTAGGGAAGAAATGGCAAACCGCTAAGCGAACTGCCTCTCTTTTACAGAGGTTCGATGCTAATCAATGTGACTGACTCTTGTTCTGTTACCTTTTCAGATTTATCCGAATAGATGGTGTCTGACAAGTCCAGCACGTTACAATATCAGCAGAGAGGAAAAAAAAAGTAACATCTCCATTCTTTTAGTTCATCACTTTCAGCCATGTATAATTATAGTTTAATTCAGAACTTTATTTTTTCATTAAAACTGTTTTAATGAACCATGTTTTTTTCTTAAACGTGAAACAAGTGAACAATGATTTTGTTTTATTCCAAACCCAGGAGCCTGCTGTCATGATTTACTGGTGTGTAACGCAGCTGTGCCAGGCGGCAGCAAGACTCAACGCTTCAAGCGCTCTTCCCTAAAGGATGCACGGTCAGGCAGGGATAGGGAGTGCCGAAATGCGTGTCTCGTGTGCTGACAGGAATCCCCACCTCCTTGTGGAGCAGTTGCTCCCTGCCCAGCCTCTGCCTCGAGGAAACTGTGGTGGAGGGTGCCGGGTCCAGCACGGGGCAGTGTGGAGCGATGGGCGATGAGCGGCTGAAGACAGCTGGGATGCTGCCCTGGGCTGATGGGGACCCACGAGTGCTGGGGAGAGGGCTTGGGTTGGGATGCCTACGGCGTGGCGTGGTCCTGGGTCGGGATGCCTACGGCGTGGCGCTGTGCGGTCCTGGCAGGGGTCCTCCGTGCAGACCCCCTGAGAGCAGGCATGGTGCGCAGGGCCAGGTACGCCAGGTGAGGCTGCTGGCCAAGGCAACCCTGTGCCCGTCCTGCTTGCCAGAGAGCCGGGTCGCTGCGGGACCAGGCACTGCAGCCTCAGACATGGACCTCTGGTGAAGACTGGCCTGCTCAGCCACACCCAGACCAAAAGCCCTTTTCCCCCATGGAAGCCCTGCTCCTTCCCTCCCAGCCCGCCCCGCCAAACCACCAAAGCGATGCCGGTACCTCGGTGCCACCCCACAGCCCCTGTGCGTGCCATGACCTCGAAGGCGCTGCTACTCTGGCAGCTACGTTTGAAGCAGCTGCCTTAACACCTCGGCGAACTTAAAAGATGGCTCGGCTCTGTGGAAATAGCACTGGATCATAGTAGAAACTAAGTTCTGGTTGCTTATAGCTTCTACTTTAATTCAATTTGTAATTTTGTATTGTATAGAGCAATAAACAGAAGTCCCCCAGGGTTTGTAGCTGTAAAATGGCAGCTTCTCCTCAAGCAGAAGTGGTGGTGCTGAAAGTAGGGTTCTCAGGTTGGCCTTGCAGTCTCTCTAGAACTTCGCACTGATGGGAAGTGAGGGAGAGAGCAGGAGGTGGGCTGGAGTAAGGATTCATCCCAAGCCTGGCTCCAGGAAGGGACGGACGGACGGGATGGGACAGGCGGTGGACTCCACCACGTGGACACAATTCAGCAATGCCTGACAAGTGCGAACGCTGCAGGGAAGTGAAAACGGAGCTTGGGCAGAGCAGAACCTGCTGCAGCAGCCCCATGGGCCCACGGATGGGGAAGGGCATTCACAGTACTTGAAAGGAGGGGAAAAGCAAGAGACTGAATCCTTGATGGGCTGATCGCACAGGAAAAAACAAGTAAAATACTTTTTATGATGTTTAGCCAGGGAACACGGCAAGGCCTGCATCAGTATTAACCATGAGGGATTCTACTGTAATGAGTTGCAAATTCAAACATTCAAAGTGTGAAGTTAAGGTTCATCTGTCCCTCGCACAAACCTCTTTCTTTGCAATTAGAAAGATAACTCTGAGGTGCTGGGGGAGGCAGGAGAACAGAGCTGTTTGTTTCTGGGACGAGGACGCGGCTGTGACGAAGAGGAAAGCACCGGCTCAACTCCGAGTCCTGGCCAGGGGCCTGAGCCATCTTCAGGTATGAATGCACTGGTTGAGTTGCACGGGAGGAGGTTTAGAGAGTTTTTAGAGCAGAACCGGTGCCTGGAGCTCCTTGTAGCCTTTCACTGGGACGTGGTCATCAAAGACAAGAGCATGCACAGGAAAACAAGGGAAGACCCTGAAAGGTAAATCCTAAACCGCTATCTCCGCCTCAAGAATTCCCAGTTTAAAGGCTTGGGCAGAAAAAACTGTCACGGGTTCCCAGATCCTCATTAAGGTATTTTAATTGTTTGCGGGGTCAATTAGAGATGGATGCGTCACCTCATGTTTTTATGGTGTTTTAAAGCTTGCACACAAAGATGCTGCTACCCTGCTACAGGTTGTAACTGCTGGAGTAGGAACCACGCGCTCTGCCTCTCATCAATGTCCTTGTTCAAGTGCAGCAATACCGTGGGACATCGTGGCATACTGAAGGGGTTTTTAGAATCACGTCGCTATTTCTGTTTTAATGCAGACAATACACAAGAAAACACTTTCATGACAGCAGAAACTATCTCAGGAAGCTGTCAGAAACAAGGAGAATTGGTTTATTGTCCAAACGTTTTTCACAAAAACACTCCTCAGTGTTGTTGCTCTGCCAGATACAGGGTGATGCTAAGGCTGTTCTTTGCAATTAGCAGTTAAGTGTTGTCACTATTTTGCACTTGCTTCTACAAAACTTAATTCTCAGTACTCCTCCTGGGAGCATTTTGCCACACCCTAGTCACTACAGACCGTACATTTCATGCAGTGACAAGACACGAAAAAGGAATTTCTGATGGAGATTTCTGCCGGTTCAACTAGTTACATGTACAAGCGACCACCAGAGGCCAATAAGCAGGATGAGGGAGGGTGCAGGTACATTTATTAAACTTGCAACCCTTGCTTTTCAGGAGTTTCTCTTCAAGAGCATCCTACAGCTGCAAAGGGAAGGTGGGCTACTTCTCAGCTGAACAGCATTTATTGCACATTTTTACATTTAATTTCAGATCAACAGAACACTGGTCATAAGTGAAATAAAATCCTGCACCAGGAGCAGTTCACAACTGAGTTTTGTTTTGCTTTTAATAAAAACGAGTGGACACCCCTTCACCATATGAACTTGTTTTTTTAGAGGAGGGAAGCATCTCTTTCAGACGGGCTGAAGTCAGCCTGCTTTTGGATGTCTAATTCTCCTGTTACAATGACTGGAGCAAAGGGAACCACAGCTGCGCAGAGAGGGGCCAGGTATGTGCCAGGAAATAATTTATGGGAGCAGTTGTCAAGAGCAACAACGTGCTGCCAAGATACGGTTTTTCCCCCGCCTCTCACGTGTAAGCGATGAAGGCTGGTCTAGGATTCCCCAGGAGCAGAACTGTGGCTGAGAAACAGCCACGATTGTCCCTTTTCTGTATGAAAAAGCCTCGGCAGCGTTGACGTATGCAGCGTGTAAGCAGACACTCTAAGGCTGCTGTTTCCATCTGCTGTGTCACCAGAACAGGGCTGCCCTTTTTGCTGGTAAATCACTGGCGTGGCTTCTATGCAAGATTAATCTGATGGACTTATGTCAAAACTGATGCTTTTTAGAAAGGGCAGCTGAATTTTACATTTTCAGCTCTTTACCTGTTTGGCATCTCTCTTCACTTTGGTATGGTTTACTTGCATAAACTACGTTCCTCTTTTTCCTAGAGATAAATCAGATGGGAAGACAGTAGCAGCACCAGAATGAAATTAAATTAATTGCTGTCCTTCTCCCCCACTTGCTTTCCTCTTTTCTTGAAAACCTCGATAGCACATGGTTCTGGGTGGCAGAAGAATTATTAAGACTATTATACCCCGTGTCCTTGCCTGGAATAGTAGTGTTTGAAATTAGTGGCTGCATGGAGTCATGCTGAAGAGGTCCACTTTACTACAACAGGCAAAAGAACTTCATTCCGAACATACCTGTTCTTAACGTTTCAACTACAGATTTAAGATGGAAAACAATTTCTGTCCTCTTTCCAACAAAAGGATTTACACAGAGGCCTTCCAGGAGGTGGCTGGAGAACTCCACTTGCCCTCAGGAGCAGAAAAATGTACATTACCTGCCCCAAGAAGTATGCGGAGAAGTGAGAACAACAAACAGGTCGTCTTCCCTGCTCAGTGCAAGAAGATGTACGTGAGACCGCACAAACGGGCTGTGGCCAAATCGCAGCAGGAAAGACTGGGCTGCGTGACAGGTGGTGCTCAGTGCCCGCTCGCACCGCCTCGGCAGAAAGCACTGCGCATTCAGAGTCACGTTGCTTTATTGGTTACTGAGCCACAATTCAGAGAAATATTGCCTTGGGGCCACCTGTAGAAGCAGGTTCTCTCATTTTGTCTCCTAACATAACTGGTAGGACACCACCTGCTATATGGATCGCAAAAATAAAAATGTCTCTGTTCAAACTTGCAGCAGCGGCGTCCGGGGGAAGGTTCCATAGTTTCCATTGACCCAGGTACCGTAATGGACGCACATGCTCTCGCCAGGCTAGCCATCTGCATCGATTCTGTGAGCTGTCAGATGAGAACAATAAATGGAGACATGCCACTTCTGTCGGATGAGACACTTCCCAGCTTGAACTTACCACTGTACGAGGGAGACAGGAGCATTTGTGGCTGCTAACTGAACGTGATTCATATATGCCTCTAATGTATTTATGGAAGCTTTCTAAGTTGGATATGCTTCTTAAACGGGGCCAGGGAGCTGGTCTAAAGTAAACATCAGGTTTGTGCCCTTCAGCCACTTCCCCAGACCTACAAGGGTACCAGTAAAACTTGTTGCTAGCAGATAGCGGTTTCACAAAATTATTCTAGTGGGAAAATGTTTTGGCAGACAGATAAATGGGGATGAGAAAGAAACATGGCTCAGGCCTCCACCTTGCCTTTGTACATTCAGTTCAGACCTCCAACAGCAATTCCACGCTGTGAATTGCCGGCAGGGACAGCAGCAGCTGTAGGAGGCCTCTGCTTCCCACTCCAGTCAGATATATACGGTTAGATGGAACAGACAGCTGCAGTGGTGCTGCTGAGCTCAGGCTCCAGAGGCACATCGTGGCCAGTCTGTTCCAGGAACCCCCGTTCTGCGTGTGTCGCCACGCAGAGCTGAAGCAATCCCTGACCGGTTCCTGAAGGAAGCAGCAGGGCTCTCCTTGCTACTTACATTGCTTTGGTATCCTAAGGGCCTCATTGTCAGCTGACATCACTTGGTGCAGAACTCCTCGGAACTGATAAAGCACTTTCAAACTCTTCTCCTCGCCCACGCAGGGGTCATAGAAACCCGGCAGACCAGCCTTGAACCAGAGGAGGACAGACTGAGCATCAGGGAAGGGACTTTCACAGCTGACCAAAACCATTTCTTAGTGCCAGAACGAGGCATCATTAAAAAAAGAGTTTTGTTGCCAATGAGATGAGATGCTAAGGAATTGTCTCCCCAGTGGCAAGTTCTAAACCCAGAAAAGAGGGAACCAGGGGGTGGGAAGTTTCTGGTGTACAGCCCAAGCCTGTAACATGCGCTGTCCCACACTGAATACAGAGACACTGTTTCTTTGGCACTGGAATGCCCAGAGAAACAGAAGCTCTTGGAAGTTTCCAACGCTCGGAATGTAAATGGGTTCTGTAAATCAATCTAGAGTCTCTAGCTTCAAGCACATTGGAGAAATCCCCTGGTAGGACAGCATCGAAATGCTGAGTAACACGTTCGAGCTCTTGAGTCTGGGTTTTGACAGAAAAGCTATGTACCTTGGATGCCTCTGTAAGGATGAGTTTCGAGTCTTTCACCAAGCACTGCAGTGGCACAGTCACATCTATTACTTTCACCTTCTCATTCTTCCTGCTGTTGTCGTTAACAAACTTCCCATACCAGGCATTCACTACAATCAAACCTGCATTTCACATGAAATCACAGATGTAATGAAAGGCTTCCCACTGACAGCTAGGCAGATGCTGATGAAACGACCATCCCGGCATTTTCTCTTGCTTTCAACAATACTTAAACTTTCCCTGCCTGGACCCACACTTCTCAAGACAGAACAACATTTCTACTCAGGTGTTTGTTACAGAATGCCACACTGATGTGACAGTCCAAGGGGATGTCAGACCGCTTTGGAACATTCCCTTGGAAATTGCTAGCAAACATCAGAATTCCAATTTCCACTACAATCCAGGAGCAAACTGTGCAAGTGAGAGACCAGTGAAACCTAAACTTCAGACTACAACTTCTGCACACGTTTATACGCACCCCTCTCTTTTGTGAAGAGGTGAATCTGTACTGTTGTCTCCAGCCTGTTGATCCACCTTGCAGCATGTCCCAAGACAATATTCAGTGGATCCCGACTAAGCTCAGGCACCAGAAACTGAATCGTAACGGGACTTTCTCACTGCATGTGCAACAGCAATCACGCTGTGCTTCATTAGGGGTGGAAATGAAGAAATGATACCTTGTGTTTAGCCCCATCAACCACCCAGCCTTTATATTGTTCCTTCCTCTCTCCAAATCTACAGAGCAAGTCAATGGCATTGTAATCTTTACCCATTCTGGCTTCCTCCGCTTCAATTATCCTCCGGACAGACTCTTGCATTAACCGGACCTGTCGCAACACAAGGGGCAGAGCAAAAATCAAGCAGTGTCAGACACTGTGTCTGAAAGAGAAAAGCCCAGAGTGGACACAGCTTCCTTTAACTAAGGGGGATCAGTTACAGGAAAGCCTTACCGCAGCTTCAGCCTCCTGCTTCTTCTGAAGGATGTCGCTGGCTGTACTCTCCCGTTGCTTCTCCAGCTCTCTGGCATAAGGAAGTCAAGGTCACATCAGCTCTACACAGCGGATGGGAGTCAGCCACAACGTGACTTACCCACCCCAATTAACACTGACCCTCAGCCTCACACAAACGAGCACCATTTTAAGGGTCTTCCCCACCTTTCAAGATATTTGCGTAGGCTTCCCGAATTCAGTAGTATTGACAATGTAGTGAACTGCAGCGCCTCAGCTGGATATCCCAGCCTTTGCACAATGCCCCCGGAAGCGCTCAAGTGGGACTTCCCAGCTCTGAATTTAAAACAGTCTTGCGAGCTCACCTCTCCTTTTGTGCCCTGAGGTAGGGTTTGATGATTAGTCTATGCATGGCGAAGTAGATAACCAGAGGTCCCACGGTGGCATAGAACACAGCACTGGGAAGCAGCTGATCTGTTAGGTGGACAGGGAAGAAGTAGGTCTGGCTAGCCCTGTTCAACCTGGAACAAAAAAAGAACACAGTGACAGCTAAGAGGAAACGCAGAGTTTAATGTGCTTGATTAAGTACACTTAGCAGCAGCGTAATGCTGCTGGACAACTGCTTAACCAAAGGAAAGATGAATGAGCTCAAAAAGGTGGAAATCTGATACACTGCAACAAGACAATGGTAAGGCAGACAGCTGACACCACCCAGAGCCAGACTATGATGTAGCAGACATCTCTTATGATAGTGATTTTTTAATCTTAGAATTTATTTGCTCATGAACTTCACCAGGGAAAGGGATCAACATCATCATCAAGAGAAAAGAAACTGCTTATAGAGGAGGTCTATCTTCATACCATTGGCACGTGCCTTCCAAGGAAGGAGTACACTAATAATTTTCTGACACTTATAATAATACTTCATTTAGAAACCATTAGTTTTCCTGGGACAGAGGTCATCACAGCTTTACCGTTTGAGCATTGTGGCACATCCCCTGCTGGCACCAATTAATTGCACTGCAGCAGGTGAACCCTAAAAGCTCTGCTCCTCCTGGTGAGTTGCATCCTATTAGTAGCATAATCACCTATATTAATTAGTGATAACTCACCAATTCAAGTATATACTTGTCTGCAGTGTTACAAAACGGAATGCAATTCAATCCATTTCTACTAATAATATTTTCAGAAATCTTCCATCCACTTACCGTAATGCTCCAAACCTTACTTTAAGCTGTATTTTCAGAATATTTTGATGCACACACACACACAAGTTCTGAAAGAGGTGGCTCAGAGTAACATCAGCAGAAGGCACACATTGCTTCCGATGGGCACCACTTGCACTAGAGGCGAGAGCTGCAACCTTTCACAGCCATATATCAATATACCTGTACTGCCCTAAGACTGGGACCTTCCCACCTGAGTACTGGAAATAGAATAGTGCAGGTTACGGTCAGCCTCTGCAATCTAGAGTTGTAATCTTGAACTGACTTGATTTTCAAAGACACTCCTTGGGGAACACCAACACTGACGGTGGCTCCTAAAATGCTGTGCCTGGAAATCTTCCTCTCTGCTCCATACTCCACTATGGTCCCAAAGAAACCCGCCCTAGAACGACAGAACCAAAAACTGGTAAGACAGGGAAGACGCTTGAATTTCTTTTTACTGAATCTGGTAATTCCCCAACAAGTAAAACATGGAAATACATCTGTGTGCAGCAGATGTTGGCCACTGGGAGATTCATGGTCTATCTACAAGGTGAGACCAGCCTTTTCAGCTTGTAAAGCAGTAAACCGTGCACAAGAACTGCTGGCGTTCCTATTGGTGACGATATAGAGATATCACACACAAGTATTTCAAGTTCCACTTACCCAAAGAGGCATACAAAGCCTCCACAACATTCATTTCAGCAGTTACTAGACTCAGTGAATGAAAAACAGATTCCCAAAGATAGCAGAAGCATTTGATTTGCATGGAACCTGGAGGCCTACGACAGCAGGAGATGACAGATTCTTCAGGCTGCGAGCAACGTGAATTTCTTCTTGCACACTTACTTGAGAGAGCCTTTCACTCGTGTTTGATCCTCATCCTGAAACTTATGCTGATAGCTGACCATCATGAAAGAATGGGGGATTCCCAGCTGAAATACAGGAGGCACAAATGTATGAAAACGTACCCTCAGCCACCACTGAACCTTCCCCCAAATTTCCTTTCCTGTCCTGTAAGTGGCACAGAAAACATTGTAATGCTTGCCACTTCCTCGTCACAGCCTGCAATCTCTGCAGCCTGTGCTGCACATCCTGACCCTAATTTGAGCTGACCCACATCAGAAATGACAACGTTGGGTGCAAAGCATCGTGCTCTGCCAGATGCAGCTGGTTACCTACATTACATGTTCACACAAGATAGTACCAACTGCTCCGTTACCCTCTAGTCCCAAGCCAAAACACTGCTGGGATGGAAAAGCTGAGGCTCTTCCCTCCCACGGGGTGGTATCTCTGTCCCCTGCGTGCAGCAATGGGACTCTCACCTGTAACGCCACGGTGAAATGGCTGGTTTTTGTATCCCGGACAATACTAGTGTTCATGGCTGACTGGATGCCCCACCGCCACTGCAAGTACCCCATTGTGTTCTTGTCGAGGTTGCGGGCTAGCACTGTGGTGAGGCCTGGGCGGATCCCACGGGATGAAAACTGCAGGGCACAGTTTGTAGTGATGAAACTAGGAGAAATAAGGAAAGCCTCATCAGTGAGAAAACACAGGCTCCCAGGCGGCCTCCAACTCCTTCTTTCCCAGGAGCCTTGCCGAACATGCAGAGATTGTCCTGCAAGGAGCATGATGCCTGAGGGTTTCAGGAAACTAATTTAGACTGTACCAACCACAGCACTGCCTGGAAGAGCAGTATTGTGCCTTGGTTTACTGCTCTGTGCCACAACGCTGTAGCCAACGCAGCAGGCTACCGTTCAGCCTTTGCCCTTCTTGCCCTAGGCAGGTAAAGTCCTGGTCCTCTGTAGAGCAGCAGTTCTGGCTGCTAGAAGATAGCAGCCCTGCTATTTAATAATCCTCAAGCATCAGCTCCAAAAAACAGGGTTAGAGGACTCCACGGGGAACAAGATCCCTGTAAAAGCGCTGAAGAATGGCATATTTACTGACTTAGAAAATACAGAATGAAGGAAGCCTATGCTGGCCCCTACAATGCCCTGACATACAGCCACAATCACAACCTTACCCTGTACTCCCCTTTGCAACTAGAGACCTCTATTCATTTGTCAACAGACACCACACTAGTGACAAGTTTGGCATTATTTTCCTAAAATACGACATATCATCTCCTCTTTTGCTGTCAGAAACTCCGTCTCATGCATGGAAGCCCCGGAAGAGCTCCGCAATTTTTTGTTCTGTTCCCACAGCAAACTTCTGTTGCTCTGATTGGAAGATTGTGCCTCAAGCATTGCAAATTCACGACAAGATCAAATACAAATCTAAGGATGTGGAACGCAGACCTTCCTTAAACTGTAAGTATGAAAATGGAGGACACCAACACACAAAAAGCATTTTGATAAGTACTAAAGCATGACCATAAGTCTAAAGAAGAAATACCTTATTTTGTAGGATAGAAAACAGATCCAGAATTAACACGGAAGAGAATTCAAGCTGTTTAGTTCCTTAGTGTGGAACGTTAACCATTAGACTATTTTTCTAATATTTACCATCTTGGTGTAAGATTACGGAATATCTTCAGACCGAAGAGAGGTCCCTGAAGGTCTCCTGCTCCAAACTCCAACTGTTTAAATGCACAATGCCAAACAGTTAGAATAAAACATCTTTTACAACAGTGACAAAGTACTTCACAGCGGTCATTTACATCACGGACATTTTACCCATCTAAGTAACATTTACCATGTATTTCAGCATCCTCTCTTTTCCGCTAGTTTTGCATTCAGAATAAGAGGTGTCACACTGAGTAGGGTCCTCATGAGTAAAATAAAGCCAGTTTCATAGTGCTACAGGATACTACTACTAGCACCTGCTCTGGTTGCTCCAGTGAAAATGGAGAAAGCACCTCCATCCCAGCCCCACAATGGCAAACAACAAGGCTTGGCTGCTGTCCTCTGAGGATGAGGCCCCTTCTCAGGACAGCCTCCCAGTAATGTTGTCAGCAGTTCTGCTGCTGCACTGTCTCAGTGTCTGCACAGTGTACCTGACGCATCACCCGCTAGTCTGGGTACCTTCCCGGGCTGCTACTCCATGTTTATTTGGCGCCGTTCAGTCTCAGGAAAGGAAGCAGTTCTTAGAGACCTGACGCTTTTCATGACAAAACCTGCAAAAGCAGTTCCAACTACATCTGCATCTCCCAAGGAAGTTTATTACGTGGGTTTTTAAAAACATTTTTAGTCAACTGACTTATGACAATATCCACAAGCTCCTGTATCACCAGTATTATAATATCCTGATGCAAATCAAACGCCTCAAGTCTATGAATTCTCAAATGAGAGGAAAACTCCCACTTCTCACAGGCTGAGGAAACGGGTTAGCAGGAGCTAGTGTGTCAAAAGCAAGGCACAGAAAGCAGCCACCTGCCAGCCACAGCAGTGATGCCATGAGCTGCAGTTCCCTAAAGAAAACAAACGTGAGGCAACTAATCCAAGCAGCCTGACATAGACTGGACATAACAACGCGTAACAGCACTCTTACCTCTCCCCATCCCTTGGCAGACGTCACTCGTCTCAGAGCAAGATTAATCGATCCACCTCCATTGCCGTTCTGCGTGGAAAGGTTACCAGATAGTATTGCTGTGTCTGTGGCAGTCAGTGGTGCCTGAAAAATGAATATATCATTACCGATTACTCTGATCCCAATTCACACATTTCATGCATGTTCTGCAAGGACGTAATCACGCCTGCAGAGACCGTAAGCACAGACAGACAGGTAACACTCTAGTTGACTCCTTGTCATTCACTAAGCCCAGGTGTTTGAACCAGATGTGGCCATACTGGCTGTAAATTTTGTAGTCACAGATAGAGTATGGCAACAAGTGACAGAATTCTTACAGTGCCAGACATGTGTGGCACCTCTAAAGTACCACCTCGAAGTCTTGACCCTGAGCTGCAAACCCTTCTAATCTCACCAGCAGACTAAATTTCTTCAACTCTCTGGAGCAGAGGAAACACACTCCCTTCTTTTACTTACCCGCATCCTCAAAAGTGGGCGCCGTTTGTTTCCATACCCTAAATACCCCATGTTCAGTGACAATACCTGTTTGCAATCTCGGTTGAGCCTCCCTGCTAGCAGGAGGCAGCACAGCCACACAAACACAGGCTGTACAGTCCACACACAGCCCTGCTGAAACTGAGCTTCCTCCTCCTCCTCCCCCCCACCCACGCTGGCAGTCGCATCCTTTCGTACACCAAGATGAGACGCCCCTGAGCAGTGTTCTGTTTTCTGTTGCTTTGCACTGCAGTGCCTCATTAGCTCTGGCCCTCCTCACCTCAATGGACTGGGAGATGTGCATCTTGTTTATCTCAATCTGGGGGAAGCTGCTCCCGGGCACATCTTCGTATTCTTCATCGTAACGATCAAAGAGGTCAGTGGCATCTATTCCAACACTAATTGTTCCCTAAGGAATGACAAGGGAAACAAGTACTTAGCATTAACCAACGTTCAACATACAGAGGCCAAATGGGTAAAGCATCCTTGTACACAATTACATTTTTCCACGTTTTTCTCTTGTTCCGCAATTACTTTTTTCCACTCTAAAATGCATTTCTTACACATTCAAGACAAACAAAACCGAATGATTACAATATTGTCAATGAGAAATACAAATCATAAAATAAACTGGATAAAAGATAGATTTTCAGTGGGAATGCAAGTTGTGATACTAGGAGGTAATTTTTCTATGGTGACGCATTACAGAAGTAGGTAGAACCCCTTTATACAGCAGGTTTCTTCTTCCCCCACAACTGACTCTGCTCTGTCAGTATCTTAAAGTTGAAATGATATATATTAGAAAGTGATTTTCTTCAATGGAACTTGGCCAGAAATCCTCTAAATGCTTTCTTAGGAGTTATCCAAAACAACTTAGTTTTGAGCTGCATCATGCACTTGCAATTGACCTCATTAGTCAAAAATTTTGTTTTCTTTTTCCTTTTATATCTTGTAATCGGAAGAAAAGCTTGACAAAGATAGACTTTTAGCAAGCAGTATTTCCTTTCTCAGGCCATAGAAAAGTTTATTCCTACAAAAAACTAGGCCACAGCTAAATAGTCTGGCTACCTGCTGCTGTGCTCACTCAGACTAACTGCAAGAGTGGGTTTATTTGAAAAGGGCACTATTAGACCCTCGTCTGGGTCATGTAAATCTGAGAGGCTTTGGAAACCTCCCCTATAGACCTATTAAACAGCATTCCAGCTCATACAAAATGTACCGGTTGCAGTAACAAACCCCCCTCTGTGCACCGGCACAGCACAAACTCTGAGCAATTTGTATAAAGAAACTCAATAGCCGGGCAGGTACAAAACCCCCTCATGCAGAGTCCAGGTATGGATGGAATAAACTCTTATTTCAGTCTGAGCGAGCATTTTTCCTTGCTCTAATCAAATGCTGAACCATAAATACAGGAAGAATTGCAGAGTTTGACAGGACTCAAAACTTCTCTGTGGTTTGGCTCCCAACTATTTCTTTGCTGTGGAGATTCCCGACCTCTTCTCAATGTTCATTTTCTGATTTCTTACGCGGCAAAAGCTGGATAAATATTTTAATGCAGGAAGGTGCGATTATTTCCAGGAGAACTCTGGAACAGGGGCTGTGCCCCAACTGCTTACAAACGACTCTCGGCAGGCCGGCGAATTCAAAGCGATTTTTCTCTGCTCTGTTTGTGGCAGCACCAAGGAGGAGCTCCTGCCCTTTTTGCAGAAGACTACTTTCCAGGAAGCATCTGCAAAGTCACCTTCAAGGGATCTGCCCTCCGGACACTACAGCTTCTTCAGTTTCAGCCCTCTCCTACATTGTGCTGTTCCTTGAAACGAGGCCAAAATAACAGTGAAGAAAGTCAAAACCACCAGCCGCTGAGGAAGCAGCGCAGCCCTGCACTGCTGCTCTAGCCCTCTGGAAAAACATGGATAAGAACAACCAGAGGGAAACAAAGCGCCAACTCCACTCAATGAAATTCCAGCAAATCACTCCAGAGTGGCAAACCAAACTTGTCTAAATACAGGTGAGTATTTATTTTAACAAAAGAGAGGACTATTTCCATTTTTCCCTGATGCTCTTCAGTTCAAGGAAGAGCAAAACCCAAGACCTTTTGTACCAGAGGCAGGATGGAAAGAAAGGTTTTCCACGTGGAGCGCCACATTCAGTGCAGAACCTTTGCCAGACTGCAACTTTAAATTCCAAGTTAAACATTTTCAAACAAGAGATATCACGCTGAGTAGTAAACGTGTTGAATTTGAATGGCAAAGAGACAGATAACTGTATTTTCAACTCAGGAATTTGCACTAAAAAAAGACCCCTGGAAAACATCTTACTGTACTATGTTTATTTGTACCACAATGCTTGTACCCTTTTGTAAAGATGCACCAAGGTCCACATGCGTTCCTGAAATTCATTGCACCTCCCTTCTTCAATTCGCACTCAAAATCTCACAATTTCCTTTTTCACACCTATGAATTTCAGAACAAATATCCCTCCCAATGAAAAAAAGGAAACCACCTGAACCTATACATGAAAATCCACAAGACCCATTCAGAGGAACAGAGCATCTCCGTTCCCTCCCCGGCCTCTCCGCAGACCTTCAATGTAGCTGCCTTTCGCCGAGGTGAGCGGTGGACTCTGTGCAGACACCTTCCCTCCCGCCAAGCAGGTGAAGTCACCCTCAGAGGTCTGTGGATCCTGGCAAGGAAACTGGCTCAGGCGCAAGCACAGGAAAAGCAGCAGATGGTGAAGTTAAAAATATTCCCAGAGAACGACAGCACCCCCTATGCCACCGGATAATAGAGGGGGGAATGCTGCTGCTCGCAACTCCCCATCAGCCACCTGCTCAGACCATTGGAAATGGCAAAGCCCTCTCCAAAGAGCGCGCGGCAGGGAAAAAACGGCAAAGCTCTGCTCAGAAGTCAGCGCCGCACGCACGCAACATGCTGCAAAGCGCCTTGCCTCAGCAGGGTGGGAGGCTGGGGAATGGCACGACGGAACCATTAGAGCTGTTATCTTTTAAAGGCACCTTCATTTGCCATCCTGCGAATACAAACAGACTTAACCGATGGAATCAAGAGGCGTGCCAGGGAAGAACATACCCCTGCATTGCCGTTTTTCTTAGGGATTTACCTTCTGGAAGGTGACATATGGAAGCTGTGCAAGACTAAGCCTTCAGGGACCTGCACTTCTTAGGTGGTGACCTTCCGCAGCAGGAAAATAACGGGATTTAATTTCTGCTAACGGGAAGCGGTTCTTCTCAAATCAAGTAATGAACTTTTCAACCCTTCTGCATGTCTTTGAAAGCAAAAACAAAGCTCTAAAAGCAAATAATAGACTCAATTCGAAACCTGCCAAATTGCCTACATCTGGTTATTGCTCAACATTGCTGGTTAAAATGCTTTATTTTGCTGGAACCATTTTATAGAACTGACAAAATGTTGGAAATTTTAAAACAACTTGCATTCCTATATGAAACGATAACAGCTGCGCTACCTAATTCCACAGGAACACTGCCTGGAGAGACATTTCTAGCGGCTGCCAATCAGCAATTGCTGTAAACACCCAGATGGCTAATTTTATCACAGGACACAGAGGCTGAGGCTTACAATGCAGTTCTGCTTTTTACTGCTCACAGCCACGGCGAGGCGCCCGGAGAAAACATCAAATTCCTTAAGCCACAGGGAAGCATGAGGTGGAGATAACCACGTCCCTCTCTGAGAATGCCCTTCTGACCCCAATCACCCTCATCTCCAGCACAGACAGTTCGACTTGCCTGTTTTGTGGCATCCAGAAATCCCTTCCTGCCTGCAATAATACTCACATAACACCCAATGCTTATTTACCCGTCCAGTACAAACAAGTTCTTAGTACCTGCACACTGTCCGCAACAGCCTGGTGATCTGTAGGACTTGATTTGCTTTGCTAAGACCAGCACAGATACAAAGCCTGTGCCCAGGCGAACGTCTCAACAGGTCTTCTCAGATGGATGTTTTTCTGATACAGCCCTAAAGATTACTGTACTTGCACTTCTGTCCTCTCAGAAAACATTGTGATTTTAAACTGCTGGCCACAAAAACACCAGCAATCTTCAAAACCAACAGTAAGAGCAGTACATCAACTGGCAGTTTGCTTCTTGGGCTATGCAAGTAATGCTGCAATGCTTTAGAAGTCTGTGTATGAACACAATGACCCAGGAGACCTCTTGTCTTTCAACAGTACTGAAAGAGCAGAGCCACCTGTGCTTTAGTGCTTCAGGATGCAGAACCTGTGTTGATTGCGAGCCTCTAGTGAGAGCTCTGGGGATACCCAGTTTTCCACCAAGAACAGAAGCATTTATAAATAAAAGAAAAATTGATGTCTCATTACAGTTTATGCTTTCAAGACAGAGGAAGTTTCTCTACATAAATATCTGCACGGGTACCTTGGGGTAGATAGAGGAAACTAAGGCCCCCCACCATGGACCATTTCTATACCACATAGAAGAAATGGATTTCCAACACATTTCAAAAACCAGGTACAAAACGTTTTCTGGTAGTTTAAACCAAGAAACCCAAGAACAGTACAGATAAAGGTAAACCGAAGTCTGAATACATCTGGTGAGTGCACATACAGCTCTTGGATAATGTTATTCACTGCATGAGAACCCAAGACTTTTGTGATTCAACAAGCTTTGAAACCTCACTCCGTGACAATCCTGACAAAACCTGAGTTTCCCTAGTGTACTTACCAAAAAAGAAAAGAAATTCACTATGCACAGATACTTAAGGGGCTGTTTACTACAGCCCCTCATCTAGGCTCATCACACCCTGCATATTCTTAATAATTTACAGATTCACTCTTGAGACTAGGATGAAGTCTTTGCTCACCTTTGGATTAGTTCGCTGCTGCAGTCGTCTCTCTTCCCTCTCTCTCTGCAAACGCTCAAATTCTTCCCTGATTTCAGCTGGAGTTCTCTTCCTTTCCACAACCTGTTCAAAGAGAAATGAAAACCAAAAGATTACCAGAAAGAGGATGTTCAGGGTATTGACTGCTTATTGGACTGAGGTCCCCTGCTCTAGCATGCTCTAACATGTTGCCCCTGCTGCTGCTGTAAGCTGCTCTGCACAAATTTCAATACTCAGGAGTCTGGAAGTGAACACCTTGGCCAGATCAAATGGCAGGCACGAGAGAAAACCCCATGCTTTGAGAGAAGGGAAAGCAGTCTTGTTATTTCTATTCCCTTGAGAAAAGCAGGGCAAGTCGCTTTCAAACCACCAGTACAAGACACCAACAGCTATCCATTAACTTCTCTACTAGGTGTAGACACAAAAACGAAAATGATGGAAAGTTTCTGGCCTGAGGGAAACTGATTAAGTGAAAGGTTTGTGATTTTAGGCTACGCCGATTCACATCTGTTTTCCTTACATGTCTCACGGAATAAGGGTTTTAAATAGGTACGGCTCCTATCCAATAGGTATGGATAGAAAGAGTATGGGATTGAGCTTTTCAAAAGAAGATCGAGTCTGCCACAAGCAGCTCAAAAATGTCTGTTACACACTGCCAGCTCCATATTTCTTGCTACAAACTCCAAACTTGACCTCGGTACTGACCTGACCCAATACACTATGATTCTGCAGCAGCAAGCAGCATAGTGCAATCAACTAAGACTGGCAGAGACTAGTGAGGGGACTTAACAGCAGGAGAGCCAGGAATGGACTAGCACTCTTTCAAAGCCCATAAAAACCCAACCAACAAAAAAATCCAACCCTAAAAAGCACAGAAAGAAAAAGTAATTCCAAACTCATAGGCTAGCTGATCCTGGGAAAAACTTTCCAATGAAAAAGATGAGACTAGATGGATAATAACGACACATTTGTCTCAGAGATGTTGCCTGTCATGGCAATATCCTATTAGGGAACTCTGAATGTCAGGTTTATTGTTCTCTTGTCAAGTGAAAAACCTAGGTCTTCTTTGAAAATCCATCATGGTGTTTCAGCAGAGAGAGAGAGAAAGAGAAAGACAGAAATAACTAAACAAGGCTGCCTTCAAACAAACAGGCATTTATTACCATCAACGTGTCAGTGCAGCTCGATAAAACAAGAATGTCAGATAAAGGTGGGTTTGGCCAATTCCACTGGCCATAAAGTGCTAAATTACTCTCACCTCCCATCCTTCCATTTCCAGTCCTCTCCTCCCATATATGTCATAGATGGCTCTGGTCTGTGGATCACTGAGCACTGCAAGTTAAAATCAAAAGAGAGGAGAGAACTCAGTTTTTGGTCTTCTCCTCAAATTTCAGACCAATGCACTAGTGTCATTTGGAATTCAAGCACAGATCCTGGAAACATTGTTCTACAGTTGCATTCAATTTTTACATTAACTCCCTTTAACCTTTTCACATGCTATATTAACAGGACACACTGGCTTTCCCCCCGCAATAAATTCCCTTTCTTTCTCCCCTCTTAATTCTAAAATCAAAAAGCGAAGAGAACACAACAGAGACACTCAGACTAACTGAGCATGCAGCGGGCTGTTTTCCTATCACTTCCTTTGACTGAAGGGTGACACAAGCCCTCTACCAATCAATGGGATTATTAGCAACGCAGAGACAGCAGTCCCTGGGAACTGTCTGAGGAGGAAGGACATTTACCTCTGCCTAGCTTTCAAAGCTTTTTGGTGCTCTGCTCCCTGTCTTCGATCTTCCTTACCATCCCTGTCTGCTGATCCCCTCCCACCCAGTCCAAACACGTGGGACACGCCAAGCACCAGCAAAGCAATTTCCATGAGGCAGCTTACACCTCTCCAGTCATCAACTGCAGGGTAATTGCAAAAATGCATGTAGAATTTCAATCTCCCAAAGAGTCACCAAGTGCAACAGAAAAAATAAAAGACACCAGGAGACTGCAGAGCAGTTACTTTGGAAAAATACCACACATGGAATTAAGAAGAATCTCAAAAATGTAAGGCATATTTAAACACATAATCTCTCATACCACAGCCTTCCTTAAAAAAAAAAAAAAAAAAAGAATAAGTTAAAAAAGTCATCAGTATTTTTCCCACAGGGTTCCAAGACCAGCTTTACCATCATGTATTTCTTTGGACTGTGGAGGAACTGATGAGTCTTCAGGAAGCTGGGTGTGTATATTAAGGCAAAAAGAGGCTTACACTAGTAATTCAGTACACTGAACTACTTGCAGATTATTGAACTTGCTAAATGTCACAGGCAGATACTATTTTTTATAAATTCTGATAAAATAGATCTTTCGTGGTGTGATACTAAGAGATGGAAGAGGAGGGGGAGAAAACAGTCAGGAGGTGGGGTGGCTTATTTTCAAGATGTCAAAATTTTTGCTTGTAAAATATTAGGTTCACATTTGGTACTAAACGAGCAACAGTCTCCATACACATCACAACACAGAGCCAAGCAAAGCCACAGAATTCAAAGAGAAAGCCGACTCTAATGTAAGACCGACTCACCACATTAAAATGGAATTATTGAAGCATCCTGAGTTTTTACTCCTCATGTCATCAATGTAAGACCTTCACCGCTCTCCCCAGCAAAAGTTTCCATATGTCCTAATGCCTAACTAGGGACAACGTAAAAGACTCCACCCGTGTTCAAGTCCAACTGGAGGAAACAAATCCTTATCATTCAGAAAACAGGAGAGTTAAAAAAATTTTAGCTCATCTTTGCTGTTTAATAGAGGAACATTTTCTCATCATTTTGCTTTAGTTTCTCTTTGGGCTACAGGACTGTGCATCTAGTTTGCCGCACCAGTTTTTTAATGCAGAAGAGTCCTACCAGCTTCTAACCTATCGGCAGTCTATGTGCCTCTCATCGCGTTTGCGAAATGCTGCAAGCTGATTCTAATGAATCACTCCCCTGTGCCTCAGTTACACTACATACTACCTTATGGGGGCACCTGGATTTAAGTAACCATCATCTTAATTCAGAGTATTTTCAAAGGGCTTCGGCCCCCTTGGATGACAAAAACCCTCTAACTGCTACAAATCCATTGACTTTATCTCATTCCTAGAATATGGAAGAACTTGCTGAAAAACAATGGAGACCGCAACCACATGACAGAGAACGGAAATTCAGGATGCATCAGTTCAAAAGTAAAATACGAAACTGTGTTTCTGTTTGAAGCTTTTCAGGCTTCAGTCTTTTCAGAAGAAAGAGAAGTGGGGAAAAGATTATTTACAACACGCACAAAAATAAGACAGAGACTCCACATCTCATTCATTGCAGAATTTACACTGCATTGCTCCTCTGATTTATGGGACAGAAGCTAAGTGTCAGCAAATTTGACTATTACTTTGTCATAATACCTATCTTTTTCAAAAAGCAGGAAGATACTGCCTTCCTTCCAGAAAACCCCCGAGAACGGTTTCTGCAGACTTCAAACTTCCACTGACCTTCATAAGCTTGGTGAACAAGGTTGAACAGCCGCTCAGCTTGCGTTTTGAGCTCTGGGTCTCTGTGCTTGTCTGGATGGTACAGCATGCACAGCCGGCGGTAGGCAGCTTTTAGCTCTTCCTGAGAGGCCTGGAAAAAGCAGCAAAAATGCATTAAAGTACCACCAATGACATTTAAAAAAGACCATTCTCAGGGTGGGCCCTAAAAGAGAAGTCCATCAGCTATTACATTACACTACTTACACAAAATCAAGAATGGACTTTTGTTTCATTACGTAAGTTAATGAAATGTTCAATTCTGCACACCAGTATTTTCCACACCTTTTATAGTGCAACAAGTGACAGCACCAGCTCATCGATATACACCTAGGTATAAAAAGTTAAGTAAAAAAAACCCCAAACCACCCAAGCAATCTGTGTTCATACACTATTTTTATTAGGTAACTACTGTCTCCTCAACTCGGTGCAGAAAAGCAAGGAAAAATAAAGTCAATTCAGGACAAAAACACTTGAATCCAGGGATGTGTCAATCTTCAACCTTCGAGTAGACACTCACGGCACTCCTCTGCACCAGGAGAAACGTGCAGAGTAAAATAACCGAACGGACATGACGGGCACTTGCTGGCCCCCCTCAAGCAAATGCCATCCCTTTGATTCTAGCCAGGGGTTATGACAGACAGGAACACGACGCCAGCAAGCGAGAAAGGGGCATCAGGAAATGACTTCTAATAACAGAATTTAAAGACACAAATTCCATTTACTCCTAATGCTCCTCAGTGATTGACACCTTCACAGTTTCCAGGCTTCGCTGTGGAAATAAAGGGCCTAAAAGTTCATTTGTTAAAGTAACGTCTGTTTTTTCCAACCTGTGGTAAGGAGAGTCTGGGTTTTCATCCAACAAATGCATTCATTTGTGTACCAAAGCCAGAAATGGGTTTGATTTTGAGGACAGCTTAGACTCAATGTTTTTTTCTGCAGGCTTGTGCTATTTCACCTTAATGTTTCTAAATGATATAGCAAAAGGGGACCTGTGAATTTGCTGGCCCTGAGACAATAAAGGCAGCTACAGATTTGCTCTTATCTTCTTACTGCCTTGTGCTTTCTCGGACATTGAATTTAAACTTGACTGAGAAGGCAGGGGAATATATAAGTCTAAAATGTCATTCTTGAATCAAATGAATGATAAATGCTTTAACGTGGTATCGATTATATAATAGAAATGAGCAGTTTCCTTTTCACAAATGCCATGTTCAATAGAACGTTAGATTGGGCCTTTCATCATCATTGAATAGCTCGGGTCATTGGTTCAATATTTCATGAGCAACAGCCTCCTAGAGACCACTGAAGAAAGACCGACATAATTTCAAATTGCAAGGAAACACGTAAGTCAGTAATAATCATATGTAAGTTACATTTTTATTACCAAAATTCCAGGCAAAATTAAAAGGCGTCCCATCTCCCCAGTTGGGGTTTAAACAGCTTCATTTAGCATCTCAAACGTGCCACTGCATTTTTAGTGGACTGAAATCTACAGAAGATTAAACATCCAGACGCACGCATACACGAAAATCGCTGCTCGGTAAGCTTTCTCTCCTCATCAGGGCTGCAAAGTTCAGCAGTTAACTGTCGTCCTAAGCTCAGCTGCCACAGCACACGGAAAAGCCAGTTCACTGCATTCCACTGCTACCAAACATAGTGCTACTGAATTTAATTAGCGAGGGGTAATTAACAGAGCAACTACCACTCTCAGTTGGAATTACTCCCTCAAAGACCATTTTAACCTGGTTTCCAGCTCCCTGCTGCACCAAACCTGACATTTCTGGTCTCTAGCGAAGAGCTGGAAGCCTCGGTTAACTATTAAGCCCTCGTGGTGAATCTCCCAAGCAGTTGTAACCCTGGTGCAGTCCCTACTTCTTTCTTTTAACCTCTACGTCTGCACGCTGCTGACATTTGGGAGGGTGAATTACAAAAGCCGCTGGGTGATCCACAAGCACAGCCCCCCGGCTTTTAACAAGACGCGGGCTTGAATCGCTCAGAAACGTTTCTAAGAAGAGCAGCCTTTAACCACACGGCGTTAGGGAGTTCTGCAAACCGAACAGTTACTGTCGCACATTCTTCCTTCAGAAATGCAGAAGATATCCACAAATGAGACTGCCACTGAGGCCACAAGTACTGACAGTAACTCCAAGGATAATTTTTTCAAATCTATCAGACTGAATTGCTTCTAAGTCTTTAAGTCCTCTTACAAGCAGCTGTAGTAGTTCGGTAAAAGCCTTCCTCAGCTCAAATTGTTAACAGCTAGGCCAACGTGTATGAACAGTCAAGTCTGTTTATTATATATAAGCACACATAGACAGTGTGCGTATATATATTGCTGTCGTATCTAATGAAACAAACTGCAACACAGTTCATACGTTCAGGTCTTTGGCAATCTGCCTAATTATTACTCTAAAAAACCCTAGCTACCTCCCATTACGTTCCAAACTGTTCTAGTGTCACAAAATCGCACCACTTAATACTGGTCTGCTCTTAAAAATGAAATCGAGTCCTGCGGGTCCTTCCTTTTGCGATGAGAGAAATGTTTGGCAAAAAACCATAGGTGTTTCCAGTCTGGAAACACTTGGAAAGCCCACAGAGCACTGATTAAAACAAGAACGAACACGCAACCGAAGAAATAAGGATGTTTTATACACGCGTATATATCCGTGGCGAGAGAAGCCCACGGCCCAGGTGCCGTACGCCCTGCGGAAAACCGAACCCGCGGAATTCCCCCCGCACCACCA